GGGGCTCTGCAGGTGACAGAGGGAGTTTGAACCCCCAGGGGCTGCCCCAGGAAGTGCCTGCTGAGCTGAGGCTTGAGGGCAGGTGTCTGCCCCAGAGCTCAGGGAGGGGTCTTCTTTGGGCCATGAGGAGGGCCAGTGGATGTGTTCTAAGATGTGGCCACCTACCTGGAGGGCTAGCCCGCACCCCTTTCTCCTCCCCAGTTCCCTAGGGGACTTCTCCAGGGCAAAGGAGGGGGGTTTCCACCCAGTCCCCAGGCTTCTGGAGTAAGAGGCCTTCAGGGCAATCTGATTAGGGTTTCCCCCACAATGGCACCTCAGAGCCCAGGACCCAGGAGGCAAAGCGCCCACCACTGCCTTGGTCCCCACCCACACAGCAGCTGTTTTCTACGTAGAGGTTGCTTGAGAGATCTCATTCAGAATAAACATTTCTTCTGCTCCTTAGAAAACAAAGACATAACCACAAATCCAACCCAGGGCCCTGTTCTTATCTCAAATGGGCTGCTGGCAGGACTTGCAGAGCCACGACGGGCTGGGGAGACGGGGGAGAGGGGTCAGGAGGATCCTGCCAGCACTCCTGCCCATCCGCGTTCAGAGCTCAACAGCTCAGGCAGGACCCAGAGGGCAGCCTTGGGCAGACAACCCCAAGTTCAAATCCCAGCTCTGCCACTTGTGGGGGGCCAGCCAGTCCTCTCCCCTCCTGAGCCTGTTTCCTCAGGTCCTACAGGCAGGAGCAGCCACACTTCACAGAGGCGGAGCCCCAGGGAGGCCCACCTTTTTGGCCTCCTTGGCTGAGCACCCTAGGCAGGTTAGTTGGGGTGGGGGTAAGGGTGGGGTGCAGGGAGCACGGTGCCCCACCTAACACCCAGAACAAAGCAGGCTGGACCCACCCTTCCCTGAAGCAGCTTGCAGACCCAGTGGCGCCTGAGGGCCAGAAGGATGGTGGCCAAGGGGGCCCAGGCCTGGCTTCCTGTGCACCTAGAGGGCCTGATAATTGTAAAACCACATGGGGCTGCAGCCGCTGTGGAGCGTGGGAGCCGCCGTGGCTTGTTGGAGCAGCACAGGGAAGGTTTTTGGAAGAAAAACCAGGATGACGAAACCACCATATGTCCACCCATTTGGAGCTTTGGACATTTCAAAGGACACACCCCTGGTTTGCTGGGTGGGCGGGGGCGGGGTGTGGGGCTTCTCAACCCCCACCATCTCCATCAGCCCCTCCCCGAGCCCCCCAGCAGTCACACATTTAAATAAAACCCCGGGGGCCTGGGCAGCAAAGGAAGGGTTACCGAGTTCTTCCGCCTCCAACCACATCGCTGCCTGAGCTCCTTCTAGAGAGAAATGTTAGGATGGCCATTGGTGGCCATACCGGGTACCTCATTTGTCCCTCACACCTGAACAGGGGCAGCTCTCCATTGTACACAAAAACACAGTGTCCAGACAGAAAGGAAGGGACTCACCCAAGGCCACACACCCGGTGAGCAGGAACAAGGCTGTATGACCCCACAGCCAGTCTCTCATTCCCTGACCCCTGGGTGGGGGTAGGACGCCACGCTCTGTTTCCTGAGTGGCTAAGGGCAGGGGTGGCTGCCATTCTCAGCCCTGCAGGACCATCTGCTGGGAGCTGCATCCCGCGGCTGGGGCTGGGCACCTCATCCTAGGCCACTTACTGGAGGCTGACTCCCTGGGCCTTGGGAAGGTGGGGGGCCACAGCCGTGGGCCCAGGATGTGGCTGCCATGCTACAGACCCCCGGAGCCTACTTTGTGTCTCAGCTGCCTCCTGTACCCAGAGGGCTATGCTCTTGGGGTCAGGAACATGGGTCCCCTGCCAGTCACTTGTGCTCCCCTCTCTGGGCTTCTCAGCATCTCTGAACCTTCTCTTTCTGCAAGGCCTGGGTCCCTGAATTCACACTTTCCTTTTCTCCATCCAAGGCCCTTTGCAGAAGCCTACATCAAGTCTACGTGCAGTCTGGCCTTTCCCTGCCCCTGTCCCCAGCATCTAGGTGCTACTACGTGGTTCCCTTCTGCTGCCAGGCACTGACCTAGCCCCAGAACCTGGGGACTCAGGCAGGCTCTGGACCAAGGGAAGGAGCTCAAGGCTGGCACCGTCCAGTCTCTGCAGCTCAATGTATTAATCTGTGAAAGGAAGGTAATGACAACTCTCTCCTGGCAGGGCTCTTGTGAAGATAACAGATCTGAAGTCACTTTGAAATGCCAAGAAGCCCCATGGGAATGCAAGGTGCTATCAGCCTGATTTTTTCCCCCCACGGCTGGGCAGAGCTATTGCCAGGGTGAAAGGCTGTGGGGATAGCAGGGCCCTCCTGCACTGGGACGCAGTGACCACAGGGAGGAGGAAGGCAGAGTGGCCTGACTGCCCAGATGGGCTGGGCCAAGGCTCTGGGGGCAGAGGCTCCTCTCGCTGGCCTCGCTCATCCCCTGATCCCCTCCCCTGATCCCCTCCGAGAGGGGCCACCGTGTGCAGGGCTCTGTAGGGAGCAAGGCAAGGTTTTGTGGTCCTGGGGGGGTCTGGCTCACACGGGATCAGAGAACAGATCTGGCCAGGCACGGTGGCTCACGCCTGTAATCCTAGCGCTCTGGGAGGCTGAGGCGGGTGGATCATTTGAGCTCAGGAGTTCGAGACCAGCCTGAGCAAGAGCGAGACCCCGTCTCTACTAAAAATAGAAAGAAATTAGCTGGACAACTAAAAATAATATAGAAAAAATTAGCCGGGCATGGTGGCACATGCCTGTAGTCCCAGCTACTCGGGAAGCTGAGGCAGGAGGATCACTTGAGCCCAGGAGTTTGAGGTTGCTGTGAGCTAGGCTGACGCCACGGCACTCTAGCCTGGGCAACACAGTGAGACTCTGTCTCAAAAAAAAAGAAAAAAATCAGAGAACAGATCTGCTGGGGCCGAGCGGGGCTATGTCCAGGAGCTGCTTCTGTCAGGGCTGGAGGCCTGGCCCTTGTTGAGGCCGGAAGGAACCAGGCAGAGACTGAGCCTCTAAGGACTTTCTGATATTGGAGCTGCAAAGGAGTGATCAGGGGGCCCGACCCCCTTTTACAGACAAGGAAACTGAAGCCTGCAAAAGAGATACGACAAAAACTAATAAAGTGCAAGAGAGGCAGAGAGGGCTGCATGCCGTCCCAGCTCTGCTCCACACAGCCCGACTCCATTACTGCTGTCTGGGACTCAGTTTCCGCTGCGCTGTACCGTGTGGGGATGGCGTCTGATGCGGGGGAGGATGGACTTTTCCGAGGACTCAGCATTCAGAGAGGTTAAGACACTCACCAGAGGTCGCACAGGGAATGAGCCAGCACCCAGAGGCCTCACAAGTTGGCCCAGACAGCGGACCCCTGGGGCCGTGTTGGCGTGGGGGTGGAGGATCAGGGTGTCCAAGAGCAGCAGAGGAGAGGCCCATCTTCCACCCAGGCCCCCTCACCCCAGTTCCCCAGGTGGGAACTTCATTCCGGCCACAGCGCCTGCCCCGCCTCTGGTCTCTGGCGCCCCCCTGTGGCCTCAGGGAGCAGACGCCTCTCACCTCCTGGGGGCCCCAGCCCTGCCCGTCTGTAGGAGGACCCAGAATCCCTCCGAGGGACACGAGGGCTCCGTCAAACCAAAGCAGCTCCTGCCCCTACCCCTCCCAGGAGACCCGGAGACAGTGACTGGGATCCCCAGATTTGGGTTTGAATCTTGGCTCCCCTTCCCGGCCTGACTTGGGTAACACATCCGGACTATGTTTCCCCAAATATTTCTCCGATTGTGGGCTCTGCGAAGCCTCAGGGCAGAGTCCCTGAGATCACGTGGGAGACTCCGAACGTGGAGGAGCACCCTGTTTGCTGCCAGGGGGTGTTCAGTTCAGCTCTACAAACACAGAACTCCTCTTCCCCCAAGGCAGGGAACCTCGCCCTGTCCCTTCACAAGGAGGTCCCAGTCTGAGAGGGGAGGCAAACCCTTGAACAGATCTTTTAAAGAAAGAATGTGTTGTCTAAAGCCACTAAAATGCCCCACCCTTTGATCTCTCGTCTTGGACAGACCCAAAGTCCCATGGCGTCTGGTCCAGCCCAGCTGGCTACAGCTGGGCAGAAATCAGAAATACCACCAGAGTCAGCCCCTCCCCTCCCACCGGTCTCCGGCAGCCCATGGGGACCTCTCCTTGCCCTTGACATTCCAGGCTTAGACTCAGGCCCAGCCCAGCGCCACCCCAGGGGTCTAGCTTCGGAGCCTCCTCATCCTCAGCCCATCAATTCACCTTCATCCTTCCCAAGCCTCAGTGTGACCATCTGCTAAATGGGTGTGATCATCCTTACCCCACCTTCCTGCCTCCCGGGGCAGCTCTAACGACACAATTAAAGTGAGATCAGAAACTTTGGGGGCGGGCGGGGGGGTGCCAAGCGCGGGCAAACCTGGGAGAGAGCGAACTACAACTCCCATCCGGCTCCGGGGCCGCGGGCGTCCCCAGCCCCTCTGCCTGACCCAGCAGAGAGGCGGCCGCTGCCCAGGGGCGAGGGAAGCTGTGGTGCTCCGGGCCTCTCCCACCTGGGTTAGGGCCCGGCGAGGCCCCAGGTAGAGCTGGGCCTGGGGCCGCGCAGGAATCCAGGCGGTCTTTCGGGTCCCGGGGAGAGGGGGGACCCCACCCCCACCCGGCCCAGGAGTTATTCTCCGCTGCTCGCCCCCCCACTTCCTGGCCGGAGTTGGTCCTACCCCCGCGCGCCTCCGCCTTCACCTTCAGCCGCGGCTCCCATTGGGCGGCGCGCACCTGCCCGTCCGTCGGGGGGCGGGGCGGGGGCGGGGCGTGGCGCCCAGGTGAGGGCGCGCAGGCAGCGGCGCAGGAAGGTGACAGCGGGGAGGGCGGGAGGGTGGGGGGGTGGACGCGCGGACCGACCTACGGACGGACGGACGGACGGACGGACGGGCATGCGGGCGGCCGGGCTCTAGCCGGGAATCGGGACTCGGGCAGTAGCCATGGAGCGGCGGCTGCGCGCGCTGGAGCGGCTGGCGCGGGGCGAGGCCGGCGGCGGCCCGGGGCTCGACGGCCTCCTGGATCTGCTGCTGGGGCTGCACCAAGAACTCAGCAGCACCCCCCTGCGGCGGGAGCGCAACGTGGCGCAGTTCCTGAGCTGGGGTGAGTGGCGGTGCGGCAAGGTGGGGGGCGGCCCTAGGGACCCCGCGCCGGGACCCCACGCGCTCCACGCTCACAGGCCTTCCCGCAGGGACCTGAACCCCCAGACGTTCCCCTTGCAGACTGTCCTCACTGGCCCTGACACGTGCCACTGAAACCCGCGGCCCGCTCACTCACCTGTGCACCTCACCCTTAGATACTCACACGCCCCTTTCCACTCACAGGCCCCGGCACACGTACACAGCACACACTTCACAAAGACACACGCAAACTTGTGCCTGGTATAGACCGCAGACGCATGTACCCAGGGCACGCCCTACGGAGTTGTGTACAAGATTCCTCATACATCACACCCCACACCCCGTGCAGACCCCTGTCCGTGCCATGCACGGACACAGGCTTTCTCAGTCTTGTACACTTGCAGATACCCCCACACACAGACACACGCCCGTCTCCCTGCGTACAGGACCACCGCAGCCTGGACTTAGGAACCAACTTCAGCCCCTTGGTCTCTGCCAGCTGCTGGCCAGGCTCCCTGAGAGCAGTTCCCTCGGGGCTGGGGAGGGGGGCCTGGCTGGAGGTGGGTCGGTGCCTTTTCCTGGTTGACTCATCTGAGTCACCAGGAGTGGCTGGCCTGGGGTGACCCTGAACCTACAGTGGGCCCTGGCGCCAGTCAGAGGGTTCCCTGGTTATACCCAGCCAGGCCATGGAGGTAAGGCACGGGGGCCCGGCCTGAAGGGTGGGGTGAGGTGGGTGTTTGCCCAGTGGGTGACTAGCGTTCCTGGCGCTCCTGAGCTCTGGGCAGGCACAAGGCCTGGCCTGGCACACTTCGGGGGGGCCTGCAACTCAGATGTGCCAGCAGCTTGGCCCCAGCCCCAGGCCTTCCGTCCAGGCTGAGGGCAGTCAGACGGCCCCTGCCTCTGTTGCCTGCCTGTCTCCCTGGGACTGCTGCGTATTATGCGTGCATCTGTGTTGTCATCACCTCCCCACACACATGTGTGCTCCCCCTGCCTGGCTCTGGCACCTCTACCTGGGACCCCAGCATGGGGGCCCATCTGTTGACATCTCCTGAGGTAACTCAAAGGGCGGTGACTCATTCCTCTCCTGCCCCAACTTGTCCCTGCTGCTGCCCAGAGCCCCCATGCCCTGTGGCAAGGCAAGGGGACTGGGCGGCCAGTCCTGGGGGCCTGGATCCTCATGCCTATGGGCCCTGGGCATTGGCCCCTGTCTGGCTGGTGGGTCACCACTCTGCTTTGGCCTTGGTTCCCCCTCGGAGGCCAGTGGCTGCTTCTCCCCAGCTCCGCACACAGACCTGGGAAAGAGACAATTAATTTTGGTAATGAGGTTTCCACACCACCCCCGCTGCGGGGGTTCTGCCTGATAAACCTGTGGAGCAGCTCTCTGTCCCACCCACAGACCCGCCCCGCTGGCAGGGAGTTTACCTCCTGGCAAGGGGAAACTGAGGCAGGGTGCCAGACCACAGCTGCCCCCAGTCCTGAATGGTCACTCCTGCCTCCCTTAGTTCCCAAGACCCAGTTTCCTCCCTCCAGTCTGTGGCTACTCCAGGCCTGGGAAGGGCCTGGGAGTGGCTGGAGATGCCCCTCACGGAGGCATCCAGGACTGCGAGGAAGGAGGAGGTTCTTGGCCAGGAGCAGGCCTTGTCCCAGGCGGGGCTTAGAGCTGTAGGCTGGTCAGGCCTGGAGGGGCTCCTGAGCGCTCACCCCCTCAGGTGCTAGCGTCCGTGCCATGTGAAGGTGTTTTGGCTCGGTTTTTGAGTTTTGTGAGTACCTGGGCGACCGGTATCTATGCCTCCAGACCGAGGGGACCCCACTTGGGGTACACAGAGCCTGTCCTCCCAGAGCCCTGCAGAGCCACTGTCCTCCCTGTCTGGGGCTGCCACAGACCTCACCCTCAGCCAGGTACCTCTATGCCTACAGGGTCCCCAGACCCAGGCCCACAGCTCCCAAATGGCTGAGAATCCTCTCTAGGGACAAGGAATGTCACCCGTCCAGTTTCCCAAGACAGGCCCTGGCCTGGCCCTGTTAGGGGGCCAAGAACTGTGAACTGGGGTGGGAATGGTATCCCCATGGTCCCCAGGGCAACCCGGCCAGCCAGGGTCGGCTAGGGAGGACCACAAATCCCATCAACCCCTGGGGTGGAGGCTGCCTGGAGTCTGAGGATGAGGTCTGGGGGCCAGGTGGTCGGCTGAGCCAGGACCCTCACTGTCTACACTTCCTGATCATTGCCGAACAGGCTCCAGCTCCTCTCGACCCCTTAGCCGGTGGCTGTCACTGGGGCAGGCGTCCCTGCCCTGGCCTCACAGGAGCTGCAGCTCCTGGTTCCCAAGGTGAGAGAGGGAGCTGGCCCCCCACCTGCCCTGCATGCGCTGAGCCCCACCCTGTGTCCCCTCAGCCAGCCCCTTCGTGACAATGGTGAAAGAGTTGCGTCTGCAGAGAGATGACTTTGAGATTTTGAAGGTGATCGGCCGAGGGGCCTTCGGGGAGGTGAGCAAAGGGCCTGGGGTAGGTGGTGGGGAGTGTGTTCCCACCAGGCCGTGCTGACCCCAGCCTTCCCTGTGGCCTCAGGTTGCTGTGGTGAGGCAGAGGGACAGTGGGCAGATTTTTGCCATGAAAATGCTGCACAAGTGGGAGATGCTGAAGAGAGCTGAGGTCAGTGTGGGGTCTGGTGGGCCTTTGGCAGCCTGCTCATGGGTGGGGACAGGTGTGTGCTGCCCTTGAGGCCTCCAGGGCATCCAGGGGAAGAGGCGGGGCATGGCTGCTGACCAGGCAAAGGATGTCACCCTCAACAGCCACCAATCTCCCGTCCCTTTCTCACAATAAAGCTTTCTTAAAAGCAAGCAGAGTTGTTCCCATTTTCCTTACGGTAACACCAAGGCCCAGAGCCATGAAGTGTGGGCTCATCCAAATCAGCCTGGGGAGAGCAGAGCTGTGACCTCCATCTCAGCCCCTACACTTACTGAGTCCTTCCCCATTCCCTGCGCTGGTAAGGCATGGGTGGGGGGTCCTGGGCTCTGATCCCATGCTACGCCCTGCTCCCCAAAACCTGCTGCAGACAGCCTGTTTCCGGGAGGAGCGGGACGTTCTGGTGAAGGGGGACAGCCGCTGGGTGACCACTCTGCACTATGCCTTCCAAGACGAGGAATACCTGGTGAGGACACTCTGCAGGGTTAGAGGGGGGTTGCCTGGGGACCTGGGGGTGCTGGGACCAAGGAGAGAGACCTCTTCTACTGGGACAAAGTAGCTTCCACTTCCCATCAGCTCCTGGGCCTGGAGCCTCCTGCCGGAGCTCTGGCTAGGAACTGGCTACCCCAGGGGTGCTGGGAGACACGGCCCTGCCTTCCCAGAGCCCCATGGGACCAATGTGAGGGGGCAGGTGCCCCTTCCTCCCAGACTGATTCCCGTTCCCTACATAACGCCGTCCAGTACCTGGTGATGGACTACTACGCCGGTGGGGACCTCCTCACACTGCTGAGCCGCTTTGAGGACCGCCTCCCGCCTGAGCTGGCCCAGTTCTACCTGGCTGAGATGGTGCTGGCCATCCACTCACTGCACCAGCTGGGCTACGTCCACAGGTGGGGCCCCTGCCCCATCCAGCCCCTGCCAGCTGCTCTGCGGAGAGCTGCTGTTTGCTGAACACTCAGCGTGTGCCAAACACTGCTGGGGACTTCATATGTGGTTCCTTTGAATCCTTATGCTAAGAAAGCTCATGTGGTGGGGGCTGCTCTTGTCCCCTTTTTAGTCGAGGAAGTCAGAGGTTAGCACAGGTAAGCACCTGACTGAAGGTGATTTGGCTCATGGGTGGCTGAGCTGTGGTCTGCACTGGGGATGTCTGGCTCCTGCAGCCCCGGCAGTGCACTCCTCAAGGGTCCTTTCCCCAGTCTAGCTGCCTGCTTCCTCCTGGCCACCAGCCTTCTCTCCCTCCGACATGCATGCACGCACATCGCACCTGGGCATGCACCTAAACACACATCCACACACACAGGTCAAGCCCCTCATGCTCCCTGCCTTCCCCCAGGGATGTCAAGCCAGACAATGTCCTCCTGGACGTGAATGGACACATTCGCCTGGCCGACTTTGGCTCCTGCCTGCGTCTCAACAACAGCGGCATGGTAAGGACCCCACCCCAGAGTGGGAGCAGGGGACACCAGGCAGACCAAGCTCTCAGGGCAATGGGAGGCCCAGGCCCCAGGTGGGGGGCACCAGGCCAGCCCAGCCCTGGCAGGGTCGGAGTGCCAGGCTTGTGGTGAGGGGCCAGCACCCCCAGCCATGCCTGAAGCTGCCCTCATGGCATCATCACCACCACCGCCCACAGGTGGACTCATCAGTGGCAGTAGGGACACCGGACTACATCTCCCCTGAGATCCTGCAGGCCATGGAAGAGGGCAAGGGCCACTACGGCCCGCAGTGTGACTGGTGGTCACTGGGAGTGTGCGCCTATGAGCTGCTCTTTGGGGAGACGCCCTTCTACGCCGAGTCCCTGGTGGAAACCTATGGCAAGATCATGAACCATGAGGTCTGGCCGCCAGGCTCTGGGGCTCCAGGGAGGCCAGGGGGACTCCCAAGTCTGTGTGGTTGGAATCCTAGATACTTGACACAGCCTGACTCCCCTGCCCGTAGGACCACCTGCAGTTCCCCTCGGACATGCCTGACGTGCCAGCCAGCGCCCGAGACCTGATCCGACAGTTGCTGTGCCGCCAGGAGGAGCGGCTGGGCCGGGGCGGGCTGGACGACTTCCGGAACCATCCCTTCTTCGAAGGCGTGGACTGGGAGCGGCTGGCGGCCAGCACTGCCCCCTATGTCCCTGAGCTCCAAGGGCCCATGGACACCTCCAACTTTGATGTGGATGATGACACCGTCAACCACCCAGTGAGTGGCAGATGCTACCACAAGCGGGGAGGTGCCCTGACCCTCACTGGCTGTGGGAACCCTCCAGAAGTTCCCTGGGGTGGGCTAGGGCTGAGGTCTTTGGACCCCAGGGGCTCATAAGAGTTATGGTTCACCCCTGCTCGTTCACCTGCACTGGAGTGGGTTGTGCCAAGTGAAGGTCCTTTGATCCCAGGTGTCATCCTATTAATCAGCATTCGTAGAAGGAAGAAAACTCTCAGCAGCCCCTGGGAGGCCACACTCTCAAGGACTCGTGGGAGCTGGGGGCTGTTTTGGTGGGGGCTGTGTTATGCCCTTAGGTTCCCACCTGAGCAGGTCCCGGGGGCCTCCTGGTTCTCAGGCCTCCTCTTGGAGCTGTGCCTGTTCACTCTGCCTCTCCTCCCATCTCCTGCAGGGGACCCTGCCACCACCCTGCCATGGGGCCTTCTCGGGCCATCACCTGCCATTCGTGGGCTTTACCTATACCTCTGGCAGGTGAGTTTAGTGCTCACACACCTGGTGAGAAGCTGGGGGCTGCCTGGCCTGGAGGATGCTGGAAACCCACCAGGCACCGGGAAAGAAGGCAGAGTGGCTACCCAGTGCCTGCATGTGACTGGTGCTCTGAGCCTGCATGTCCTCAGGGTCCTGGTGAAGCCATGCCTGTGCCTGGCTGGGCCCCATCCCAGCGCGTGGCTCTCTCAGTGCCTTCCACAGCAAGCTGAGAACGGGCTGCACTTGGAGCCAGAGGCCTGGAGTTTGAAGCCCCTACAGCTCCCAAGCCTCACTTAGTGCCTCTGTAAAATGGGCGGGATGATCACCCATTTGAGGGGCTGGCCTGAGACTGCAGCAAGGTCCTGGTGAGGCATGCTCCGGGGTGCAGGAAATGCCTTCGACCCCCACTCATCAGGGCCAACTTGGTCTGTGTCACCACATCCTCTCAACGGCCCTTGGAGAGGCCTTGTTATCGCCACCATTGCCGGTGAGGAAACTGAAGCTATGTTAGGGTCCAGGTGATACAGCTTGCAAACGCCAGGACTAGGGCTCACACCTGGGCCCAGGAATGCTGAAGCCTGTGCCCTGGAGCCACTGCCCATGGCCCCAGCCTGGGGTCTCCTGAGGGCAAGGTCTGGTCTGGGTGTGTCCTAGGTGATGAAGTGATTGGATGCACTAGGATGGACGGGGCTTTCTGCCAACATGTGTCGCCCCTGTCCTCCCCTAGTCCCAGTCCTGAGAGCAGCTCCGAGCCATTGGCTGCTCTGGAGCAGAAGCTCCACTGTCTGGAGCAGGAGAAGGTGGAGCTGAGCCGGAAGTGCCAAGGTACGGGAAGCAGTTGGGCCAGGGCTGGCTGAGGGTGGGCGTGTTGGCCGTGGGGGCTGCTGCTGCAGGAACAGCTGCTCACCTACGGGGGCTGCCTCCCCTGCCAGAGGCCCTGCACGCCACTTCAGACCACTGGGAGCTGCAGCAGCTACAGAAGGAAGTGCAGACTCTACGGGAGAGGTTGTCAGGTATTGCAGCCCTTATCCTACCCCCTCGCTGGGCTGAGTCCCACCTGGGTTCCAGTCCTATCCCTGCTCTGTACATGCTGTGTGATCTTGGGGAAGCACCTTAAACCCCCTGAGCCTGCATGTGGGAAATGGGCCAAGGAGACCCACCTCCCAGGCCGTGGTGAAGGTTCTATGAGACGTTGCACGTGCAGTGCCTGGCTGAGGCTGGGGCAGTCAGTATGTGCAGGTCTCAGTGACTATTCCTGGCAGAGACACTGAGGGACAGCAATGCCCCCTTGTCCCAGACGGATGGGCCCCCTGCTCATAGCCCAGGTCAAGACAGTGACTCATGGCAGGAGAGAGACCAGCTCCACCAGGTGAGGGCCTGCTGAGGCTGGTGAGGGGCCCAGGGCTCCACACTGTGGAGGTCCTTGCCCTGACTCTGGGCCTTGTCCTCCTCACCCTGACTCCCCAGGAGCTGGCCGAGGCTCGGGCAAGGCTGCAGGCTCAGGAACAGGAGCTATGCAGAGCCCAGGAGCAGCAGGAAGAGCTATTCCAGAGGCTGCAGGAGGCCCAGAAGAGAGAAGCAGCCATAGCCAGCCAGACCCAGGCCCTGAGCTCCCAGTTGAAGGAAGCCCGGGCTACCCAGAGGGAGGTGGGTGAGCAGGAGGGGTGATCTCAAAGCCCACTGCCTCCTCATGCCTGCTGTGGCTGGTAGAGCCTGAGTCTGTGGCAAGGTGGGGCAGAGGGATTGGGGTGGGCCAAGTCAGCACTGGCCTGCCTCTGCACCCATCACAGCTGGAGGCCCAGGTGGCCACCCTGAGCGAGGAGGTGACACAGCTGCAGGGACAGCGGGAGCGAAGCCTTGAGGAGTGTTCTCGGGTCAAGGTAGTGAGGTCTTACCCCTTGGCAAGAGGTGCCCCAGGCCTGACTCCTGTGTCCCAAGGGTGGGGTGGGCCATGGCCTCCTGGGCCCCTGCCCTGACCCCTCTCCATGTCCTCAAGACCGTCCACACAGCCTCTGAGACCAACGGCACGGGACCGCCTGAGGGCGGGCCTCAGGAAGCTCAACTGAGGCAGGAGGTGGCCGCTCTGCGGGAGCAGCTGGAGCAGGCCCACAGCCAACGGTGAGCTGGGCAGGAGGGGTGGTGGGGACAGGCAGGACCCAGGCCGGGCTGGGAGTCACTGCCTCGGCCTTCTCCTCCCCAGGCCAAGTGGGAAGGAGGAGGCTCTGTGCTGGCTGCAGGAGGAGAACCGGCGGCTGAGCCGGGAGCAGGAGCGGGTGAGCAGGGCGGACAGAGGGACAGACAGCGTAGACAAGAAAGGGTAGGACAGCCAGCAGAAAGATGGGCGGAGCTGCCAGGGGCTGGGCAGGCAGGCTGTAGCAGGTGAGCAAGGGCAGACACAGATGGGGCTCAGGGTGCTGGGGGTCCTGTGGGGAGAAAGCAGATGACCAGGGCTGCTGGAGCACCCTGGGGCTGAGCCGCCTCCCCACCCGGCCCCCAGCTGCTGGAAGAGCTGGCGCAGGAGCAGCAGAGCAAGCAGCAGCTGGAGGGTGAGCGGCGGGAGACGGAGAGCAACTGGGAGGCCCAGATCGCCGACATCCTCCGCTGGTGGGTGCTGGTGGGCCAGGGTGGGCCCAGGGAGGGCTGAAGGCCCAGCCCCGAACCCCGCGCCCCTTTCCCAACAGGGTGAATGATGAGAAGGTCTCAAGAGGCTACCTGCAGGCTCTGGCCACCAAGATGGCAGAGGAGCTGGAATCCTTGCGGAACGTGGGCACCCAGACACTCCCTGCCCGGCCGCTGGTGAGCCCCAGGGACACCCTTTGGGGGGTGCGGGGTGCCAGTAGCCTCACTCTACAGGTGGGGACACTGAGCTTCACAGCAGGTCAGTGGCTGAGCTGGGGTTTTGAGCCTGGCCAGGGGGCATGGGCAGTGGTGTGCCCTGGGGGAGTGGACCCCTGAGGCAGCCGGGCCCAGAGGGCATCTTACACGTATGCCCGTGGCCATCAGGACCACCAGTGGAAGGCACGAAGGCTGCAGAAGATGGAGGCTTCGGCCAGGCTGGAGCTACAGTCTGCACTGGAGGCCGAGATCCGTGCCAAGCAGGGCCTGCAGGAGCGGCTGACGCAGGTGCAGGAGGCCCAGCTGCAGGCCGAGCGGTGAGGCTGGGGGCTGGCGCTGCAGGGTTGGGCCCTGTGCAGAGGCTGGTGGCGAGCCCTTGCCGTTCTCCCCCAGCCGTCTGCAGGAGGCTGAGAAGCAGAGCCAGGCCCTGCAGCAGGAGCTGGCCACGCTGCGGGAGGAGCTGCGGGCCCGCCGGCCAGGGGGTGAGTGGCCACTGCCTGCCCATTCTAGAGCCAGGCCCCCACCACAGCCTCGTGGTCACCAAGGGGCTCTGGCAATGGCCTGGCGGGGCTGCGGTGACAGGAGTCTGTTTTAGGACTCTGCAGCTTACCCTGCCATCTGTCACCAGCACTCACCGAGTACCTGCTGTGTGCCAGCCCTGCCCCCAGCCTGTGGTCCTTTCCCTGCTTTACTCAGGCGATTAACTGAGGCCCCTGCTGGCCCCAGGGGTTGGGCCAGGGACCCCACCCCCAGTGACCCACGCTCTCTGCTTGCAGACTCCAAGCCATCAAACTCCCTGATTCCCTTCTTGTCCTTCCGGAGCTCAGAGGTAAGAGACAGGGAGAAGGGCTGGTTGGTGGGGAGTCCTGGAGCGAGGTGCAGGGGCCTTGACTTTGTCCCTCCCTCTCCCATCCCCAGAAGGATCCTGCCAAGGAGCCTGGTGTCTCAGGAGAGGCCCCAAGGCCTGGGGTGGAGCCAGAGCTGAGGCCAGAAGGCCGACGCAGCCTGCGCTCAGGGGTGAGCACAGGTGGGTTCCATGGTTGGGGGGCTGGGCCCAACCCCTGCCCTTCTCACCTGTTCACTTCCCCTCCTGCAGGCTGTGTTCCCCAGAGTGCCAGCAGCCGCCACAGCCCCTGCAGAAGGTCTTCCTGCTAAGGTCAGCACCTAGCAGGCTGAGTGGGGTGGGGGTGCCAAGCTATTCTGCCAAGCTCCATGGGACCTTCCATGCACATCATGACGGGCAAACATATCTGGGGTGGCCTGAGCCCTCAGGGATGGGCACAGGGCCCTGGGAGGCTGTGGCAAGCATGAGTAATGGCATGCTCCCCGTCCCCAGCCTGGCTCACACATGCTGCGCCCCCGGAGCTTCCCATCCCCCACCAAGTGTCTCCGCTGCACCTCGCTGATGCTGGGCCTGGGCCGCCAGGGCCTGGGCTGTGATGGTGAGAAGCCCCAGCCCTCCGCACACCCACTCCCCACACTCCAGCCACAGCCCCCATGTGTGTGACCCTGACACACCCAGGCCATTTCTCCCAACTCGGGGTCTCTGCTGGTCCAATGTCCCACTGCTCAGTTTTTGTTTTTCTTTTCTCACTTGTTGGGGAATTGGTGACAGTTCAGGTGCCACTGGGACTGGGAATGCCTGGAGTCTTGGCTCGAGGCTGTTCTTTCCCAGCTTCACCCTATCTGCCCTCTTTTGATGTCCCCACAGCCTGCGGCTACTTCTGTCACTCAACCTGCGCCCCACAGGCCCCACCCTGCCCCGTGCCCCCTGACCTGCTCCACACAGCCCTGGGAGTGCACCCCGAAACGGGCACGGGCACTGCCTACGAGGGCTTCCTGTCGGTGAGCAGAGGCTGGGGGAAGTGGTCAGCATGCGGGGGGCTGAGGACTCTCACAGGCCCTCCCATGCCTGCCTTCCCCCAGGTGCCACGGCCCTCTGGCGTCCGGCGGGGCTGGCAGCGGGTGTTTGCTGCACTCAGCGACTCGCGCCTGCTGCTATTTGACGCCCCTGACCCTCGGCTCAGCCCAGCCAGTGGGGCTCTCTTGCAGGCGCTGGATCTGAGGTGGGTGGTGGCAGCGGGACACAGCCTGGGACTAGTGGTGAGGGGGCAGCCGGGGACAGTGAAACCTCTAACCTGCTCCATGGACCTCCCAGGGACCCCCAGTTCTCAGCCACTCCTGTCCTGGCCTCGGATGTCATCCACGCCCAGTCAAAGGACCTGCCACGAATCTTTAGGGTGAGTGCCTAGGGCACGATGGGCCAGCCACTCTCTGCCTCTCCATGCTGTCCCCAATCCAGCCACTGTCCTCTCTCTCCACATGATGGCCACAGTGGCTTCCATTCTGGCCCTGATGAGCTCTCCATCCTGCAGCCACAGCGAGCTTCCCACATGAGCATTTGGACACATCCTGCCTTGTTTAGGACGCTCTGTGGCTCCCATTGCCCTCAGGGTGCTCCTGACCGAGGCCTTGAGGCCCCACGGATCTGACCCTGCAGGCCTCCCAGCCTTCTCCCCTGGCACCTCTCCTTGCTCTGGCCACACCTTGCTTTCTCCAGTTCCAAGGGTGCCCTATGCACCTTATCCTCGGTCCTTCACATTCTGTTCCCTTTGTATGGAACTGCCAGCCCCCGCCGGTCCCCAGCCCCTCACCCTCCTTGCCTAACTCCTGGTTAGTCCACTCACGCTTCGGCTCTGGCAGAAGTTTCGTGTCCCCTGGGAAGTCATCCTTCACCTCTTGGCCTGGGGTAGGGGCTGTAGTCTTGTTCCCACAAGGCTCATCCTTGCCCTATTATGGCACTGGTTATACAGGGCTCTGCAGTTATCTGCATGTTGTCTGACCACCTGACCGGCTTGTCCCCTGCTGTGGACAGGGCCTAGCGCTGCACCCAGCAAGCGCACACTCAGTTCCTGTGCACACTGGCTGATGGAGACGGGAAGGGAGGCAGGATGGCAGGCTCTCAGCCCAGAGCCTTCCAGCCTGGACCCTGCCTGCAGGTGACAGCCTCCCAGCTGACCGTGCCACCTACCACGTGCACCGTGCTGCTGCTGGCCGAGAGCGAGGGGGAGCGGGAGCGCTGGCTGCACATGCTGGGCGAGTTGCAGCGGCTGCTGCTGGACACACGGCCAAGACCCCGGCCCGTGTACACACTCAAGGAGGCCTACGACAATGGGCTGCCACTGCTGCCCCACACACTCTGCGCTGCCATCCTTGGTGAGCTGGCTCAAGGGAGCGATCTGGGCCCATAGGGTTGGTGCTGGCCCAGGCACAGTCCAGAGGGCCATCGTCACTGCCCATTCCCTGCAGCCATGAGCCGTGGACCCAGCTTTGTACACATATCCTCTCTACCCTCCTCTGTGCACAGCCGCTTGAAGAGTCCTGGGCTTTGGGGCAGGGAGCCTGGCTTCTTGCTATTGCATTTCTCTGTGCCTCAGTTTCTGCTTTTTCTAAAAGAATCTCAAGCAAGTGGAACGAGCAAGGGCTTTGAATGGGACAAACAAGGGTTCCAGTCCTGGCTCTCTCTAGCAGCTAGAGGACCACGGGCAGCTGAAGAACCACCCACCCGGAGCCTCACATCTCCTGGGTGGAGCTGCCGTGAGGCTCACTTATGTGCAGCAGGGCCCCTCCGTGACTTACAGCTGGGAAGATGCCCGAAGCAGCACTCCTAGACTTCCCCTAGCAGCTGAGCCCCTGAGCCAGCCCTGCCCTCGCTCAGGGTGGGAGCCACGGGAGAGGGTGTGTGGGTCCCCTGGGTCAGTTGGGAGCTGGAGGGGTTAGGGCGTTACTGAGCAAGGGCTCTGCTTCCCAGCCACCAGCATTGCTGCTTCTCTTCCTCACAGCCGCTCTGTAAGAGAGGTGCCATCATTGTCCCCAGTTTGCATAAGGGGAAACTGAGGCTCCAAGAGGTGACGTGACTTACCCCAAATCCCACAGCTCAAGGTGATGGGCCTCTCACCTACCCCCTGCCCCATGGCTGTCCCTCTTCAGAGCCAAGGGAGAGAAGAGTCTGGCGATACAGGGACAGTGGGACTATTACCACCCCCACCTCCTCAAGAGAAAGAGGCCCAGCAAGGGCAGGTGGCCTGCCCAGTTTCTCCGCCACTGGACAGACCCTCTGACCCCCGACCCTCTCCCTCCCTCCACCAGACCAGGAGCGGCTTGCTCTGGGCACCGAGGAGGGGCTGTTTGTGATCCATCTGCACAGCAACGGTACATGCCAAGGGTGGGCATGGGTGGGGTCAGCCCAGGGGACAGAGGAGGATGGGGATGTGCTGCTTCCCACCCACCTGTGGGTGACACTCTCCCCTCGACAACCCTGCAGACATCTTCCAGGTGGGGGAGTGCCGGCGGGTGCAGCGGCTGGCTGTGAGCCCCACAGCGGGCCTGCTCATCGTGCTGTGTGGCCGCGGCCCCAGCGTGCGCCTCTTTGCCCTGGCCGAGCTGGAGAGCACAGAGGCAGCAGGTGCCAAGATCCCCGAGTCTCGAGGCTGCCAGGTGGTGGTAACTGGGCGCATCCTGCAGGATCGCACCCCAGTGCTCTGTGTAGCCGTCAAGCGCCAAGTGCTCTGCTACCAGCTGGGCCCAGGCCCGGGGCCCTGGCAGCACCGGATCCGTGAGTTACAGGCACCCGCACCTGTGCAGAGCCTGGGGCTGCTGGGTGACCGGCTGTGTGTGGGTGCCGCCGGTGGCTTCACACTCTACCCGCTGCTCAATGAGGCTGCTCCATTGGTGCTGGGGTCCGGTCTGATGCCTGAGGAGCTGCCGCCCTCCCGAGGGGGCCTGGGCGAGGCGCTGGGTGCCCTGGAGCTCAGCCTCAGTGAGTTCCTGCTGCTCTTCACCACTGCTGGCATCTACGTGGATGGCACAGGCCGCAAGTCTCGTGGCCACGAACTGCTGTGGCCAGCAGCACCCACGGGCTGGGGTAAGGCCTGCAGAGGGCCTGGCTGGGGGGCCGGACACCTTCGGTATATGGGTGAAGACAGGGTCCTGCCCCAACTCCTGAGTTTGGCATTAGAGGCCCTGCACACCACAGCCCCTGACCCAGTGCACATCCTCCAGCCCAGCCACAGCTTGTCCTGCTCTTGGTGGCTTGTGTGGGACCTTCCTCTTCCATGCCTGAGCTGCTTTCCTTCCTTTGTATCCAGCAAACTCTTAACCAAGTCCAGCTCCAGTGTCAGTGCAGGCCTGCTGGCAGGCACTCCAAAGACAACTGCTGCCCTTGCTGTCATTGTTATTAGTGCCTTCATGCTCCCAGCCCTGCCCTCCCTGTCACTGGTCTTTCCCTTCTCTGCTCTCCTACCTCTCTTTTCAGACCTATGTCCTGGCTCATCACCTCCTACTGAACGACTGGCCTGGGGAATGGGCCGGGTTGGTTTTGTCATCTATATCCAGCATCCAGCCCAGGCAGGCTCACTCCAGGGGCTCTGAATGTTCGGAGGAATGAATGAATGAATGAATGAATGAATGGGGTAGTGGAGCAGTCTGGCAGTTAGGTGCATTCACAAGTAACTGGTGTGATGGGCTAAGGGCTGGAAGAGAGGGACAGAACTTCATGAGCAATGGCTCTTCTGGGGTGCGGCTTGTGGCTTGGGTGTAGCACAGACTTTTGGCATTGTAGGCTTTGGACCCAGGCTGCCCGGGGCCAAATCCCAGCCCTCACTGGGTGACCTTGACCATTACTTAGCTCCCAGGTTTCCATTCCGTCATCTGTAAGTTAGGAGTGATAATAACAGTACCTGCTCAGAGTTTGAGAATTAAGGGAGCTGGGTGTGGTTCACCTGTAATCCCAGCCACTCTAGAGGCTGAGGTAGGAGGATCACTTGAGGCCAGGAATTCAAGACCAGCCTGGGTGACAGCAGATCTTGTCTCAAACGAAAGAGAGAGAGAGGAAAGAATTAAGGGAGAAAAAACACGTCAAGTGTTTAGAACTGCGCCAGGTCTGCAGTGCGTGCTCCACATTTGTTATCGCTGATTTGCCGTGGAGGTTCTGTAGAGTCTTCAGGGGAAGGACCACTGCGTGGAGTGTGGAAGTTACTGTGCTGTGACAGAGCGCAGGGTCCCTGTGGTACAGAGGAGGAAACGAGCTCAGAGAGGTGCCTGATTTGCTGGGGGCTGCACAGCACAGGCAGTTTCCTGCCTGCAGGTTACGCAGCCCCCTACCTGACAGTGTCCAGCGAGAGCGCCATCGATGTGTTTGACGTGAGGCGAGCAGAATGGGTGCAGACGGTGCCGCTCAAGAAGGTGAGGGCCTCCCCAGACCCCGGAGGCTGCACTGGGGTGGGGCTGGGTGGCCTGGCCTGACCTCTGCCTGCCACCTCAGGTGCGGCCCCTCAATCCAGAGGGCTCCTTGTTCCTCTATGGCACCGAGAAGGTCCGCCTGACCTACCTCAGGAACCAGCTGGCAGGTGAGGGAGTGTGTGTGTGTGACCTGAGCGCGAGCTCGCTGGGGCCCTGGGGACTTGCGAGCGCCGCCCTGCTCTCTGCTTCTGCCACAGAGAAGGACGAGTTCGACATCCCCGACCTCACCGACAACAGCCGGCGCCAGCTATTCCGCACCAAGAGCAAGCGCCGCTTCTTCTTCCGGGTGTCGGAGGAGCAGCAGAAGCAGCAGCGCAGGTGCGCCTGTGCGGCTCCGGGGGCGGGGCCTCCTCTTGTGGGCGGGGCGAAGAAATACTTGCTGCGGGGTGTTTAGCTTCGCGCCCAGCTCCCTACACGCCCTCCGCCCACCTGCAGGGAGATGCTGAAGGACCCCTTTGTGCGCTCCAAACTCATCTCACCGCCCACCAATTTCAACCACCTGGTGCACGTGGGCCCCACCAATGGGAGGCCCAGCGCCAGAGACCCTCCCCGGGTGAGTCCTGCGGAACCAATCACCGGCCTCTCTGGTGAGCTCGAGCCAATCGCAGGCGTCCGTGATTACAGGCCTGTGGCGCATCCCTCCGGCGCTGGGACTTAAGCACTTCCAGGATGGGGGTCGAGGGAAGTTCGATCGTCCTGGTCTCTTGTTCCTCCGGGTCCCAGCCCCTCTGCACTGTCCCCCAACAGGCTCCGGAAAAGAAGGGCCGAGGTCCCCGCACTGGCCCTCAACGGCCCCACAGCTTCTCGGAGGCGTTGCGGCGCCCAGCATCCGTGGGCAGTGACGGCCTCGCTGGAGATGCAGACCCCAGTAAGGGCAGCTCAGTACTCCACACCCTCCCCCACGTTCCCAGCCCCTGTGTGCTCCTCACATCTGACCTTGGCATTTTTGTCCTCTCATCCTGTTCCTGAAGCAGTGAAGAGGAAACCTTGGACATCTCTGTCCAGCGAGTCTGTGTCCTGCCCCCAGGGATCTCTGAGCCCTGCAGCCTCCCTAATACAGGTGAGCTGGTGGGAGGGGCTTTTGCCCTCCGCCATTCAAAGGACAGGCAGTTCTGTTCTGTGCTAGGCCTGGCTCTGAGACCCGAGGCTAGGGAACGAGCTGAGCCCGTCCCTGCCCTCGATCCTAAGAGATGCAGACTCTTACCAATCTCACCCCACCGGTGGGCACCAGCAGGGCCCTGGAGGCAGGTCGGCCTACCTGGGAATCTTGGCTCTGACTGTCCCACCTGTGTGGCCCCAGGCAAAATGCCTAAGCTCCCTGAGCTGACTCACCTGTAAAATGAGGTTATTTCCGTGAGACCTGTGTGAGTTGAGGATACCTGGGAATGGCTCAGCACAGTGCCTGGCACAGGGGGAGGGTGCCACACAAGGGGAGCTCCGGGAACTCTTAACAGATGCCCAGCCCATGGTGGGTGGTCAGAGGAAGGAGCAATCCATTCTGACTGGGGACAGGGGAAGATCTAAGAGGAGCTGGGAAGGCACCACTCACCCTCCAGCCACATCTCCAATGCCCTGATACACACACCCACTCCAGTCATACCAGGTCACTCAGAGCCCTGGAACTGGCCATGTTCTTTTACACTTTAAGGCTCTTGCCCCTGCTGTTCCCCCTGCTTTGAATGCCCTTCCCTGTCCTTAACCTGATTAACACCCAGGGTGCCCACTACTATCACCTTCAAAGAAGCCTTTCTGGCCACTGGTCAGGTGGTCACTGCCTCCCTGGGGCAGGCGCCACCTTTGCCATCTCCCTCCCCCCTACCCCTTTCCTGCAGCTCCTGCTGTGCTATGGTTTTCTACTGGGTATCTGTCCTCCGTCCACTGTGGGCTCCTTGATGGTGGGGGTCAGGTTTCATTCTTCTGCCCAGAATAAAGCATGTTTGTTGAATCAATGAAGAATGGAGTGAATGAGCAAAAGGACTTTGAGTTGATTTAGGGTTAAGTAGGAGTTCTCCAGGTTCTTCCAATGACCCATGTACCCCCCACTCCACCTCACATGTGGCTCCCTCCAAGGGTCCTGCTGCGGCAGGTGATGGGTCCTAGGGAGGCCTCTGGGAGGCACTGGCCCCCTGAGGAAAGAGTCCTCCCTGCCTCTTCCCATTCTGACATCCTTCTCTTTCCCCTCCAGGTCTCAGAGCGGCCCCGGAGCCTTCCCCCAGCCCCTGAATCAGAGAGTACCCCTTGATGTCCTCTGGCAGGGCCCACCCCAATCCCAGGACAGAAAGATGTGAGGGAACAAAGAGCTTGAGAAATGCCATATTCCGGCTGGTCCGGGACATGGAAATTCGGACTCAGGGAGGTCCTGGACTGGGCAGGGACTGGGAGGCTTGCCTGGGTTCCTAGGACTTGGGGGTCCTGACTCCCAGCCCTCATCCTGCCTTCCTCTCTGCTCCCAGCCCCAGCCTGTGCTAGCCATTGGGAATGGAATGGCCCCTCTTCTGCCCTGGTGTTCAGGGGTGATTGTGCCAAAGCTCTTACAGTACCAAGCCCCAGGAGGCTTGTAAGAGTCGGGGTGAGGGATGGAGAGGGACCGGGTCCCTGGGAGCAGGTTAGGGGTCTTGTCTGTGGACTGTCTGGTCCCCAGCTGAGGCCAAGATGGGGCAAGTCCAGGTCTGTGTTCAGGGTCTGGGTGGAAAGGCAGGCAAGGAGGATGGAGGAGGGAGAGGATGTAGGTGAAGGAGGTGAGAGAGAGACAAGAAGAAGGAAGTGGAGGAGGAGGTAATAGTAACTGGAAGGAGGCAGAAGCCATGCAGAGGAGCAGGAGGGAGGGATGAAGGAGGAAGATGCAGAAGAGGAGGAGGGAGAGACAAAAGGAGCGGGGCGGAGTGGGAGCTGGGAGAACACAGACCCACAGTCCCTTCTCTGGGGAGGAGCTTGGTGAGACTGGGAACAGGAGGACTCAGTGTCAGCCAGGTCTCTCGGAGGGGAAGAGACTCTTAGGCAGGGACGGGATGGGGAGGGTATTTATAAGGGCTTCTTGGTGGGAGATGGGCATCCGGGGGGCCACTGGAGGGTCTCCAGGCACACTCTGGCCCTTCCCAGAAAGGGGGTTCCTTTTTCTCAAAGCTTCAACCAACTGTGTATTAGGGGAATATAAGGGGCATTTTATTATTGATCATAGTCATTATTGTTATTATATTACTATTTTTATTAAACCTCCCCCTACTGAGGCGTGGGGGCCAAAATAAATATTTATCTCCTCAAATGCCACATTCCCAGGAGGGACAGACCATGATGCTCTGTGAGGCAGCAAGAAACTAATAAAGACAACTTTGTAAGCTGCTGGTCTCCCTGCCTGGATCTGTCTGCCTAGGGTTCAAAAGATGGGGTATCAGGGATGGAGGGAGGAGTGGGGGTGTTATGGAAAGTTACAGATCAGGTGCCTTCCCTACATTTTCAGGAATCAGGTAACTCGAATGGAGTAAATTCATAGGCTTTTTTTTTTTTGAGACAGTGTCTCACTCTGTCATCCAGCTGTAGTACAGTGTCATCATCAGAGCTCACTGTAACTACCTTAGCCTCGCAAGTAGCTGGGACTACAGGTGCGTGTCACCACGCCCAGCTAATTTTTTAATTTTTTGTAGAGACGGGGTCTCACTGCATTGCCCAGTCTGGTCTTGAACTCCTGGCCTCAAGGGATCCTCCTCCCTTGGCTTCCCAAAGTGCTGGGATTACAGGCATGAGTCTCTGCACTCGGCCAATGAATAGACTTTAATGGCAGAGGGATGGTTTATAAAAATGTGGGCAGTGCTAAGGGAATCGATCAAAGAATGGCAGTGCCCCAGCCCTGGCAGCAGGGGGGAACTGTTAGAACCCCGAACCACCTGGGCAGGAAGAGGCAATGGTGTTACCTGATAGGAGCTCAGGCTTCTGGTAGAACTTGGCCGTGGCTGAGCAGGAAGACAGCCCAGGAAGTAAATTCTTCCACCTCTAGTAGTACTCTTTCCCATCTCCTGCCTCCCTTTATCCAAACCCAACCAGCAGCCAGAGGCGCAAGAACTCAGTGACTGCAGGTTATAGTGGCCAGCTTTGGGGGCACAGAGCGGGGTGGAGAAGGGAAGAAGTGAAACTGGAGGGCACACCAGGGGAATCCAGTGCCCTGCTGCCCCTCCAGGAGCAGAGGTCTGGGAGGGGTCTCGCTTGTTCTTAGCTTGGGTGTCCATGGCTGGGCAGGACCCAAGCCTTGAGGCTGGGCTGGTTGAGAAAGGAGGGGAGGGCCTGGGGGACCAATGGCTATGCCCTGTGGCTCATCGTGGGCCCTAAAGCTAGGGGAAAATACTAAAAAGAGACTCAGGGTGCCACTGTCTGGTTGTGAATGGGGTTGGAGGGTGTCCATCGAATGCTACAGCCTGGTTAGGAGCCCAGGCATGAGAGTCAGACAACCTGGATTCTAGTCTAAGTATGCAGCCATGGGTAAGTTACCTGACTTCTCTAAGCCTCAGTTTCGCCATCTATAAATGGGAATCATAAAATCCATCCCATGGGAGATTCTGGTGAGTGTTTGGTGAGATAATGATGTAAAATGCCTTTGGCCCACTCGGGAAATATGTGCCTATTGAGGTGCAGAGGCCGAGAAAGGTTCCTGGGCAGACAGCAGGCAGGCTAAGACCTGGAGCCATCTCTCAATGTATTGGAGAAATGGCTGCTTCTCTGGTGCTCAGCAATAATTTAGCCAAAAGACTTTCAGATTTCCAAATTTTTATATTTTTAGAAAATTAATCTTCTTCCACTGTTTTATGTTGACAAATTCCAAACCTACAGAAAGATTGCAAGAATTTGAACTCCATATACTCTTCACCTAGACTGGCCAATTAACATTTGTCTGCCTTTGCTTTACCTACATCTCTCCCCATCTCGACATATATATAGCATATATTTTGCCGAACCATTTGAAAGGAAGTTGCAAACATCTTTAACTTTGCACCTAAATGCTTTAGCAAGCATCTCCAAGAATAAGAAGCCACCAAACCCCATAATTATATTGATATAACATTATTTAATATACAGTCTATTATGGGTTGGATTGTGAACCCCTAAAATGTGTATGTTGCAGTCAACCCCAAATACCTCGATGGTGAACTTATTTGGAAATAGGGTCGTTGCAGATGTAATTAGTTAAGATGAGGCCATTAGGGTGGGCCCTAATCCAATATGACTAGTGTCCTTTTAAAAAGGGGAAATTTAGACACAGACACGAGGAGAATACCACATGAGATGAAGGCACAGATTGAGAGCTGGGTGACGCTTCTAAAGCTGAGGAACACCACAGATTGCCAGCAATCACCAGAAATTAGGGAAGAGGCATAAAACAGGGTCTTCCTCACAGCCAACAGAAGGAACCAACCCTGCCAACACCTTGATCTTGGACATCTAGCCTCCAGAGCTGTGAGATAATAAATTTCTGCTGCTTAAGCTGCCCACTTTGTAGTACAGTTGTGTCAAAAATGTTCTTTATAGCTGGGCATGGTGGCTCACACCTGTAATCCCAGCACTCTGGGAGGCCAAGGTGGAAGAGACCTTGAAGCCAAGACTTAGAGACCAGCCTGAGCCACACAGTGAGACTCAGTCTCTACAAAAAAATTAAAAACTTAGCTGGGCATGGTGGCGCATGCCTGTAGTCCCAGCTACTCAGGAGGCTGAGGCAGGAGGATCACTTGAGCCTAGGAATTTGAGGCTGCAGTGAGCTATGATTAGGCCACTGAACTCCAGCCTGGGCAACAGAGTAAGACCCTACCTTAAAAAAAAAAATTCATTACAGCATTTTTGAAATATCAAGGATCCAATTCTGGATCCAATGCTGCGTTTGATTGTCATGTCTCTTTAGTCTCCCTTAATCTGGAACAATTCCTTCCTCCCTCTTTTTTTATTTGTTATTTATTTATTTATATTTTTTTGAGACAGAGTCTCACTGTGTTGCCTGGGCTAGAGTGCCATGGCATCAGCCTAGCTCACAGCAACCTCAAATTCCTGGGCTCAAGCAATCCTTCTGCCTCAGCCTCCTGAGTAGCTGGGACTACAGGCATGAGCCACCATGCCCAGCTAATTTTTTCTATATATTTTTAGTTGTCCGATTAATTTCTTTCTATTTTTAGTAGAGACGGGGTCTCGCTCTTGCTCAGGCTGGTTTCAAACTCCTGAGCTCAAACAATCCGCCCGCCTCGGCCTCCCAGAGTGCTAGGATTACAGGCGGTGAGCCACTGCGCCCGGCCCCTCTTTTTTTATTGTCTTTCATTATTTTGACATTTTTGAAGGATCCAGGCCAGTTCTTTTTAGAATGAACTACAATTTGCATTTGTCTGATTATTTCCCATTAAAATCAGATTATACTTTTCTATCAAGAATGTTAGGCTCATGCCTGTAATCCTAGCACTCTGGGAGGCCAAGGCAGGAGGATCGCTTGAGGCCAGGAGTTCTGGAGACCAGTCTAAGCAAGAGCAAGATCCCATCTCTACCAAAAATAGAAAAAATTAGCCAGGCACGGTGGTACACACCTGTATTCCCAGCTACTCAGGAGGCTGAGGCAGGAGGATCACTTGAGCCCAGGAGTTTGAGATTGCAGTGAGCTACGATGATGATGACGCCACTGCACTCTACCCAGGGTGACAGAGCGAGACTGCCTCAAAAAAAAAAAGAAAAAAGAAAATTAGAGGCTGAATTCCCCCGTGACTCCCTCCCCTCCCCCTGGTGTGCTCCATGGATACCTGTACATACATACATACTGGCAGATGTCCAGAACGGCCGCTCCCCTTCCTTGCTTCCAGCAGTGGGAATCACATTGGAGCTTTAGGAACTTCCACACCCCTGCCCTCACACAGCTGGCTCCCTGCCCCCACCCCACCTCAGGACCCTCCGAAGTGGTCCTGCCCTTTATCCCTGGGGGTCAGTTTCACCACAGAAGACTCTCAGGCTCCCCAGGTTCTCCTCAGGTTCTGCACAGCTCTGGACACCCCCTTTTCTGACATCATCCTCCCTCCTCACCCCCTGACAGCTGTCCTTTGTTCCCTCTGTGGTTGACTGTCCATCTTCAGCAAAATCTGCTGGACCTCACCCCTTCTCCAAACAGTTCCTTATGCCCCCTGCTCTAGCGGAAACCTCGCTCTCCCTGAGGTCACTACGACTCCCCCTGCAGCCCCCCAGGGTTTCCTACGCCCCTCCTGACACTAGGCCTGGAGGAGGTGAGGTAGGTGTCCTCCTTAGTCCTCATCACCTCTTACAGACATTCTCCATCCCTCCTCCTTTCAAGCACTCAGGTTTGAACTCCAGTTATCAGCTGGTACAACCCACTTCATTTCTGACATCTCCCAACATATGGATGGCTCATTTCTAGATAATTTTGGTTTCTGGCTTGCTGTCACTCCCCATCCCACTCCTGTCTTAATTCTTAGAGATTTCCATATACATGCCAGGCCTCTCAGTTCCTGGGACCCCTCTGCTCCCAGGATCTTGTCCTCTACACTACCTCAGCCACTC